TTTCATCCTACAGGTTTATTTATTCTCATCTTCTTTTTGCACACAGATTTACAGTTGGAGGAAATGGGAGAGCCATGCAATCATGATGGCTGCCATAAACCCGCAAGGTAATGATGTAGCTTGGAATGAAAGGGTACTTGTTGCCTTTGCATTGGATTCTAGTTGCTGACACCTTTCCATATTAAAGTTCACGCATAAGATTCTTATTGTTCCATCTGGTTGTTGAGAAAAGGTCTGTCTTAAGCAACTATATTCCTCAATTAGAGACCACAAGCTTTCTTAAGCTACCAGCTATCCTATGTTCAGGTTTGTTTAGGGTCACAATTCATTTATCCAGAGTTTCAACCTTCATGAGTCATGACATGGTACCCAATCTTCTCTTCTCTCCAGATTTCTGAGTGAAACATTTCTTTCCCTGGTCTCGATTGGTAATTCCTTCTCCCTAAACGAATGCAAACTCCCTGTATATTAGGGATGTTTTAATCATGAGCCTGAGTTGTCTGGAAAGGACCCATTGAAATGTCTGTTCTTGATGCAAAAGTGAATTTTGGGGTTTTGAGCATGAAATAAAACAAGACAATGAACAAGTATGATTGTAAATTAAGTTTTGATTTCTAGAACTAAGGACAACAAAGAATAAAGAAAAACAATAGAGATACACATATGGGAATGCAATGTTCAAATGGAATATTATATCCACACCAAGGATTCACAAAAATGAACTGCATAAATCCTAGAGATACGGGTTCTGTTGATAAATATTATAATGTAAATAATAAAGTTTAGGCCCTTTTATAAACTTAAGATATTGGGATAACCGATGACACAACTATCTTTCTTTCATGTGTCAGGCCCAGGAGTTAAGACTCTGAATCTTTTAGCACAAGCTATTGTGAGCTTGTGCTTTGTACATACTTTCAGGCTAGTGGGCTTGCAATTGGATGGACTTCTCCATAAGATGGTGTGCTTAGATATAAAAAAAAATAATGATATATATATATATATATATAAATTTAAGTTCTTAAATAATTAGTTAAATATAATTTTTCGCGCGATATCAGAGTTAGAAACTAAGAACTATCTAAACTAAAATTTAATAGTGTATAATGAGCATGTTTTATCTGCATTTTCAACGTATTAGATTTGTGTTTGAGGGGTGTATTAGAATATAAAAAAAAAGCTTAGGTCCTTACACTTCAACTTTTTTGGCCTATGGTTGAGGGGGGTACTTATATTTTAGTAATAAAGTTGCAGTTTTCTAAATAATTGGTAATGCAAATTCAGTTATTTCACAAGGACCACTAGTCTTATGTTCTCACACTTTCGAAAACCTTACACTGCATGTATTCTAATATCAGATTGAAATGCAAAATTGGAAATATTTGGATTGAAGATGAAACCACTGTTTTCTTATTGGCTGTTAGTAAATGCTGGTACTGTTGTTATAAAATATTGGAACGCTACATATTTTTTTACTACAGAATATGTTTCAATGAGTACATTTATAAGGTAGTAGTCAGTTTTCTCTGCTAAAATGCTAAAAGTGAGGGAGATTCGGCAAGGAGCTATATAGCTAACCTTTCCTTTTCTATTGTTTCAGTTTCATTCTAGATATATCATGTAATTGATGTTACCTCTCCTAATATATACAAATATTTTCTTTTTCCATCCATAGTGAAAAAAAGCAAGGTTTTGAGGCGACAATCTACTTTTGTTTTCCATCATACTTCTCATCCATGGAGTAGGAGCCGAGTTCTCATTTGGATGGTGATTTTCCTTTTCTATCAGTTTTCTCTTCAGATTAATTGGTGTATTTTCTTTACTTTTTAGTATCTACGCCAATTCCTAGCAATAATATTTCTATTTAGTGAAAAGGTTTCTATTTTGTGCTTTAAATTATGCAAAGGCACTCATTGCAAGATTATATTTTTGCGCTAGAAAATATATGAAAATTACAATATCTAATTTGTTTCCATAGAATAGCTGGTATCTAGGGTAATACATTGTAATGCTCCAAAACTCTTAAGCACATTACAATGATGCATATTTGTGACGCCCTGGTACCACCTTGGCACCCACGTCCAAAAGAACAGATAAAATCTATCTAATAATTGAACAGCAGAAACATATATCCCTTATAAAGTACCAAAACAGTACACTAAGCTATTAGATTTTCTATTATATTTTACAAAATGTACATATAATCCTAACAAAAGAAACTAGCCTTACACAAATCTCAAAACAAAAACTCCAAAGTCCTTCATTGGCTCTTAGGTGCCCCTGAAGTGATCTAGACTTGGATCAGCTGGAAGACCTGTCAAGTCATTTGAGGGAATGGATTGGGTTGAGTTCCAGGGATTTAGTAAGAAAAGCAGTATTGAAATCATACAAATACGTTTGAAAACGTAATTAAATGCAATTTATAAAAACACTTGTCAGATTAAAAATATTCCAAATATATCAAATAAATTCTTCTTAAATACCGATACCAAATCCATATTTTGAAAGTGCCTAAGCACATCACTACAAATTACCCAAATACCAAATATACCATACCATATTACCAATATCCCAACTCACGCACACCCGACTGATTCTTCTTTTTAAATATTTTACATTGCTTAATATCTTTAATTATGTTTATATTGTCAAATCAACGTGTGCAACCGCTTACATTTATTTCCTTAGGAGCGCAAATGGGACATCAACTACTACTGTGAATGGGAGCGCCAAATACAAATATCAAATCAAATGCAAATAATATTTATAAAAAAAAAATCATATATATATATATATATACTACTCATTCTCTCTGGTTGCCAATGTCCACGCTCTTGGCCGAGAACGTGAATCGAAACCTTTAGTTTCCCCCAGGGACATTGAATATCATTCCACAATAGAAACCGAATACATTTCAAAACGTAATTAAATGCAATTTATAAAAACACTTATTAGATTAAAAACATTCCAAACATACCAAATAGATTTTTCTCAAATACCGATACTAAATCCATAGTTCCAAAGTGCCTAAGCACATCACAGCAAATTACCTAAATGCCAAATATATCATATCATAGTACCAATATCCCAACTCACACTCACCGGACTGATTCTTCTTTTAAGTTTTTCACATTGATAATATCTTTAATTAGGTTTACATTGTTAGACCAGTGTGTGCAGTTGCTTACATCTATTTCTTGGGAGCGCAAATGGGATACCAAACTATTAATGTGAATAGGAGCGCCAAAATATAAATACTAAATCAAATGCAAATAATATTTGTAAGAATAAATCATATATATATATATATATATATACCACTCATTCTCTTTGGTCGCCAATGTCCATGCTCTTGGCTGAGAACGCGAACCTAAATCTTCAGTTTCTCCCAGGGACACTGAATATCATTCCACAATGGGAACCAAATACCACATTCACAGCCTAGTAGAGGTTATAATACCAAAGACTATCCCTCCCAGGAAATCAGATCAATCAGATTTAGTTGGACTACTGGGTTAATTAAATCTTAAACTTTTATTAATTGTTTTCTTCTTAATTAACCAAGCTATCCTAGACTCAAATAAAAACCCAAAAATCCCA